CGGGGGTTAGGGGGCTCCACAGGAAGGAGGGGCTTCGGATGCTGGGGCCGCCTGGTGAATGAGAAGACGCAGGACAGAGGGACCTAGCATAGGTCTGGGCAGGACTCGAGCTGGCCCCGGGGCAGTGAGGCCGGCTATCAGCAAGGTGTCCACCTGCAGCAGTTGGGTGGTTCTCCGGAGCTCCGGGGGCGCTGCTCTGTGCTGCTCTGTGCGGGCCTAGCCCTGTGGGGACTGTGGGCAGGTGCGCTCCGTGGGCTGAGGCTGGCGCTGTTCACTCGCAGTAGGCTTCCTGGGGTCACCGGGAGAATCCGGACACGCCGCTCCCATTGGGGACTGGGAGGGGCCCCGGCTCTGTGGCTGCACCCAGGGCCAGCGCTCCCTGGCTCCTGCTGGGTGAGGTGGGGGTTGGAGAGCTGGGGACCTTGCCGACTGACCTGGGTGGGTCCTGGCCCCTCACCTGCCCCACTGCTTGGACCTGCAGTGAGCTCAGTCCAGAAAGGGAGGTCTTGGAGGGGGCTGCAGGCGCAGGCAGTGGGCAAGCGGGTGGAGGAGGGTCCCCGGCTCCAGAGAATGGACAGGCCTGGGACAGACTGTCTCCCTGGGTGTGGAGCAGGCTCCCCTCTTTATCCTTCACCCCAGGATTAGTGGGGCTGGTGAGGAACCAGCGCCATCCTCAACCAGGGCAGGACCAGGGTGCTCGTGTGGTGGAGGGTGATGCCCGGCTGTCTACAGAAACACCTGCAGCTGGTACCTGCCCACGGAGGCCCTTCTTGTCCACTGCTTCAGCTGAGCCCCGGGAGGCTGCGGGGGTGGGGTGGGGAGCAGGGTGTGCGCAGTGGCCTTGGCCAGCCCTGGTGTAGCCTCCGACGGATCGGCGTGGGGTTGGACCTTAATTCTGAGCCTCCTTCTTCTTCATCTGCTATGATGGATGGCACACACCCACCTCTGTCTATGCGGCCACTCGGGTCCCAGAGCCTCCTGGAAGAGACCGGCACCCTCGGTGGGGCAGCCCTGGCACCGCGGTCAGTGTGGCGATGGTCAGTGTGTGTGGGAGGTGAGCCTGTGGGGGGCTGTTGCTGAAGATGCAGCCAGCTTCTTTGTTGAGGGGCCCCTCGCCCAGGTAGAGGTCCGTGGGATTTCCCCCCCCCCACCCCCATGCAGGGCTTGTTGTCAGGGCTTGTTTTTGAAGGGTCTCCCCCTCCCCCAGCACACCCTCCTGCTATGGCTGTCCTTTCATCACAGGGGTCCTGAGTCCCCGACCCCGGAGGTGGACTGAGTGTCCACCAGCTGCCCTTTGCTGCTGGCCACAGGGTCATTCACTGTCTCGGCTTGTGGCTGTGCCGTGACTGGGCCCTCCGTCTCTGGGCCGTGTCTCCGCCCATTAGCCCTTCTCTGGGGTGGCTGCTAGAGGATGGGCCTCGGGTCAGGCTGGGCAGATGTGGGAGGTGCCTGCACCTGTCTGGGGTGCGTGGGGTCGGCTACCCCTCTACATGTGAGGCTGGAAGGCTGGGAGGTGGGGTCCCTGCATCTCTCTGGGCCTAATAGACTCGGGGATGTCAGAGTTGTGGGACGGCCTCATCCCCCACAGAAGGGAGGCCAATTGGGGGAGGGGAGGCCGCTGTGGCCCCAGCGAGGCCCTCCCGCCCCGGTGGCCAGTGTGGGTGCCACACTGGGAGTGGAGATCGTGTCCGCAACATGCCCACTGCGCCCCTGGCTGCCGTCCCTGGGAGCTATTTGGGAGCTCGTGGTGGGTGGAGGTGGGCGGGGGCAAAGTCTGCTGAGCCAGGAGGAGCCCTGGGAGGTGTCGCTCAACAGCTGGGGACGAGGGGCGCGCACGTGGTGCCCCAGCCGAAGGCTCAGAGGGCGGGATTCACTGGTGCCCACCGAGCACTGAGCCAGCCGAGGGAGTGCTCTTGAGGAAGGGGTTGCCCCGGGGGGTGGGCACTCTGGGCTGACAACTGGACACCAGACTCACTCTCGCCCGGTCCATTCCGTCCCACAGCACCCCCACAGGGCAGGGTAGAAAGACCCCTGGGGTCTCCTTACGAGAGCAGAGAGCCTCATCTCTCTCCCTGGGAGCAGCTGGTGGTTTTGAACTGGTGACCTTACTGTGGGTTATGGCCCAGCTCAGAACTACGACACCACCAAGACCTTGGAGCATCGGGCGAGCGCGCCCTGCTCCCTGCTCCTGGTCTCGCGCTCACCGTCCTGGTCCAGAAGAGCC